CCCCCTTTGCCTGGGCTGTGTCCCCCGCCGGCCAAGGGACCTTTTGGTCTCTGTTGTCCTGTGTTGCTGATGTGTGTGCCTGTCTGCTCCCCTCAACCCTAACTAGACTGTGAGCCCCTGGAGGGCAGGGACCACCAGAGGCCCCTTGGGCCCCAGAGCCCGGCACAGAGCTGGACTCCACCACACCTGTCCACCCCATGAACAAGCGTGGCCCTGGAAGGGAGTGACACATGGTCAGTTTGTCTGCTCAGGCCTCTGCTGGCCCATCAGAACTCCCCGAGATGCTGCCTTTTAATGGAGGCTGCCCTACCCCACCCAGGAGTGACCCTCATCTCCTTGGGACCTAAGGTGCCCAGACTTCACCGTTGAGAGGTGGTGACCTAAGCCAGACCTCCCCATTTTACGGAGGACAAAACTGAGGTCCACAGAGGAGACGGCTGGCCTCAGGTCACACAGCACGTCAGCAGCAGACACCAGACTTGTTCCCAGTCCCCTCCCCCTCAGCCTAGGGTCCTCTCTATCAACCACCCCCTATGCTGTGTGTTCTGAGGGGCCCCATGGGAGCATAAGCAGGTGAAGGCTATAGGATGGTACCCAAGGGACCATGGACTTGGGAGCCTGGGGACACGGGGACATGGGGGGAAGGCACAGCATGCCCCCCACCCAGCCAGGGCCCCCCTCCCCAAAAGGTTCTCAACGTCTGTCCGCACCCAAAGACCCATGGCTTACATGCCTCTGGTTCCACTGCTGGAGCTGCAGCCCTTGGGGTTAAACATTGTCCCCTGCAGGGGATCCTGGAGCTGGGGAGTGGCAGCCTGGGGGTGACCTGGTCTGCTCTGTTCTTCCTCCTGCAGGAGGGGCAGCCAGGCTGTGAGGTCCTGGTGCGGGAGAGGGGCAGCCCAGGGAGGACGGCTGGGCTGGATGAATTTGACCCTTTGTGAAACCATAAAGATGGCTTATCGAGGGTGTGTGGATTCTCCATTATAAATGTAATACATGTGCACCATGGGAAATACAAAAAAGGAGGTAGCAGGGAGGACAGTGCTGGATTCCAGCTCCAAGCCTCCACTGTGGCAGGAAGAGAGGACTCGCCCTCACACCTGCCCTCCAGGGGCTCACAGGCTAGTGCGGACACCGGGCTGGGAGGCAGCCCCAGGGGAAGCCCTGGGGGGCAGTCCAGAGGAGAGAGGGGATGCCCTTTTGTTGGGGTCGGAGAAGTCACCTAAGAGGAGCGGCATTTGTCCTGAGCCGTGAGGAGGAGGTTTTGGAGAAGAGGTGTGGGAAGGGCATTCAGGCGGTGATAACTATGTGAGCAGAGGCGGGAATGGGGCTGGGGACCAGGGCTGGACAGAAGGGCCCAGGGAGCTGTGCTGCGCCAGGGCAGAGGGCGCAGTGCGGGAATCAGTGGTCAAGGGCCGGAAGAAGGTTGGGGTCTGATCCAGGGGGTGCTGACCAAGGTGTGTGGACTTTGGGGAGCTGTGGGGGGGTGTCTGAGCTGGGGGGCAATGGTCAGAGCGAAGGCTGGGCGTGCTGCCGGGGCACAGAGGGAGGCAGGACCAGAGGGGGAGTTTGATGCCCCCAACTTCTCTGGCCCATCTGATGCTAGGGCCTGGAGGACTCCCCAGGGCTCATCGAGGCTGGGTGGGGGGCATGCTGTGCCTTCCCCCCATGTCCCCGTGTCCCCATGTCGCGGGCAGAGGCCACCTCCCTGGCTTCCTCCTCCTTCCCCCCCTCCTCCCTGGCCTCCCAGTGCAGGGCCCCCAGCTCCCTGCTGAGATGGGAGTGATTAGATTAGAAGGTGATTTGGGGTCTGATTATCTTGGGTGGAAATTGGCCCCCTGTGTCTTTTTCCATCCCGCCCAGGACTGGGGAGGTGGGGAACAGCTCCTCCATCGCCACCCAGGCAGAGCCCACTTTTTCACAAACATGTTTGAGACCAGGGTGTGAAGGCTTCTTTCCTGGGGAAGAGCAGTGTGTGAGAAGCCGGACAAGGTCTTGGTCCCTCACCAGCTGGCGACCCTGGGCAGGCTGTTCTCCCTCAGTTTCCTCTCCTGTCGACCGAGGGCCAGTATGAGGCCTACTGAGATGATTGAGTGTGAAGGACTAGGGTTAGGGTTAGGGCACAAAGCCTGGAGCGGAGTAGGTAGCCTACAGATAAGATCCTACAGGGTTGCTGTCCCTGCTATCTACGCCCTGTGAATGCACTGAAGTGTGTTCAACCCTCACCTTTAAAGATCTACAGTGACCCCACCCTCACCCACATGTGACCTCTCTGGGCCTCAGTTTCCTCCTCTAATACTGCTGGTATTTAACAGTCCATCCTGCCAGCTCCCACACAAGCTGAGCCCGTGCATGAGAAAGCATTTTGTCAGCAAGTTATTGTAGCTCCCAGAGTCCCATAGTTGGGCCCAGATTCTCCCTGTTTGTGCCCCTTGTGGGGTACGTGTGCTTCAGGGTCTGTCTGAGATGGGAAGACACCAGGCCTGGGCTGATCGGCCTGGAGTTAGCGTCCGAGGTCATCCTGTGGTCCCCACTGTTCCCTGCTTGGGGACCGAAGAGGCTGGGAATGGGTAAAGAGCCAGCTGAGGAGCTCACCCGCTGAGAGCCCAGGTTCTGGTACAGCTTGCTGGGCTCCACGCTGCCTCTGGGAACCTTCATGACTTGGATTACCCATCATGGATGGACAGACCAACCTTTACCACCTCAAAGGAACTTACTGGAGGGTATCTGTCCGTCTGTAAAGCACTTTAAGATCCTGAGATCCTGGAGGCCAAGAGGCTGGAACACCACACGTGCACACGCACACAGGCACGTGTGCAAACACACACACACACACACGCACACAGTCTCAAGACATCTCTCAGATCCCAGAAGGAAAGGGAAGGGGTGGGTGAAACCTCTTGAAAAGTGAAAATAGATTCCTTGCTTTAAGGAAAGTGCTTCTTGCCCTGACTGAGAACCTCTTGACTCTTATTTTAGATACAATTCTAATGAGTTTGTCCACCTGGACTTCAAGTCTGAAGCAAATTGGGAGGCCAGGAGAAGGCCATTAGTGACAAGTGAGCCTGAAGACAGGAGGAAATGACCATCGATCTTGAGGGGAAAGAAGGAAAATCTCTCAACAGCAGAAGGAGTTCAAGAAGCAAGTCATCAGGGCTGTGTAGTGGCTGGGGTCAGTGGCCGTGGCTGTCTGTCTGGTAGACCAGGTATAGCTCTTCCTGTGCGGCCTGGGGATGGCTGGAGACCCTGCACCAGGCGGGACTGGATTGTTAGTTCTCCGCTGAAGGGGAAACTGTATGCTGCATCGTAGGGAGCTTTCTAGGCAGAGTGGTAAAAATGAAAATCGGAAAAAAAATGAACACCTGACAGGCCAAACTTCATTTATCTAGATTCTTTACTAAGCAGAGTGCCCTCTTGTCAAATAAAAGCTGACACAGAAACCCCAAAGATGAATAAAATTGGGGCCACTTTGACCAAAGGCCTCCCTTGCCCCCTATGGCTCCCCTCCTGCCCCCTGAAAGAATTCCAGGACCCTTTGGAACCCAGTTTTAAAAATCTAAAATTCTAGGAAAGGAGTTCTTAACTTTTCTTGCACCGCAGACCCCTGGGGAGGTCTGAGGTCGTCATGGGCCACCCCTATTCAGAATAAAGCTTTGAAATACATAAAATAAAATACACTGGATCACAAAGGAAGCCAATTAGATTGAAATAGTTAAAGTAATTAAAAAAGAATTAATGTGTGGTGTAGTAACATACGTGCTTCTTTATTAGCACACTGAATAACAAGATCCAGCAGTCAGGGTAATAATTGCCTTAGCTGTAAAATAAGGATAAGCCTAAAAAGTATCTGCAACAGCTATAAAGTGATATTAAAAAAAACCCATGATTTCTGTAACATATGTAATGGTATTGTGGCCACCACTGACACTCCTGGGGTTTATTGCCTATGTTCTTAATAGGGGGAAATGCTAAATTTCAGTTTGATGTCTGTGAAAATAAAGAGGTCATTGTTTTCTCATCCAACTTCATAGAGCCCTGAATTCTTTCCCCAGATCTTTGGGAAGTTGGTGGACCCCATTTTAAGCAGTCCTGTCCAGGGCTTAGTTGGCATTTTTTTTTTTTTTTTTTTTGTGGTTGCAGAACGAGGTCTGGTTCTAGATATATCATTAAGGAAAAGAGAGAGTGGTCCCTGCTTGGCCCGTAAGACTGGGAGAGGGGGAAGGGGAGAGAGAGGAGAGAGGAAGGGATTCTCTAGGAGCAGGTAGGAGGTGGTAGGCCTGAGCTTTCTGGGGGCCTAAGAATTGAGGTATAGCAGTGTTTGAGCTCCAGGCCCATCACAGCACTATCCCAAGGTGAAGTCATCTTTAAAGGACCCACCGTGAGTACACACCTTGAACCTTAACTGTAGGTGGTGCCCTAGGACCTCAGCAGGCAAATTGCCTGGAGTCAACTGAGACCGAGCGCCTTCCGCTCCTTGGGGGAGGGGGCTTGGGCCGTGCAATGGTAACTTGGCTTTCGTCCCCTTCCCCAGGGACTCATGTGATGGAGGGCTCTGGACGGATGGTGGTGACCGCCGTGGGTGTGATTTTTTTTTTTTTGCTGGTTGCAGAACGAGGTCTGGTTCTAGATATATCATTAAGGAAAAGAGAGAGTGGTCCCTGCTTGGCCCGTAAGACTGGGAGAGGGGGAAGGGGAGAGAGAGGAGAGAGGAAGGGATTCTCTAGGAGCAGGTAGGAGGTGGTAGGCCTGAGCTTTCTGGGGGCCTAAGAATTGAGGTATAGCAGTGTTTGAGCTCCAGGCCCATCACAGCACTATCCCAAGGTGAAGTCATCTTTAAAGGACCCACCGTGAGTACACACCTTGAACCTTAACTGTAGGTGGTGCCCTAGGACCTCAGCAGGCAAATTGCCTGGAGTCAACTGAGACCGAGCGCCTTCCGCTCCTTGGGGGAGGGGGCTTGGGCCGTGCAATGGTAACTTGGCTTTCGTCCCCTTCCCCAGGGACTCATGTGATGGAGGGCTCTGGACGGATGGTGGTGACCGCCGTGGGTGTGAACTCTCAGACCGGCATTATCTTTACGCTGCTGGGGGCCGGCGGTGAGGAGGAAGAGAGGAAGGACAAGAAAGGTAAAAGCCCAGCCCTCTTGTGGACCAGAGGAGGAGCTCTTAAGGCCACATTCTTTTGTTGTTGACTCATTCACTAGACAAAATAGTTATTGAGTGCCTTTTATGTCCATACCCTGTGCCAACAGCTTCCTCCTGTAAACCCCAAGGCCCTTCTTGGGCCAGGAGGCTCTGTCTGTTCCATCTCCAGGGTCTCGTTCCAGTCTCTGTCTTGTCCGGTCATGTCATGGGGGGCCCCCCTTCCCCCTGGGCCAGGCCAAGGGGGCTGAGCCTTTTCCTGAGTCTCCAGCTTCAAGTGTGACCTGTTCCCATCATCACCCCTGATACTGAGTAGAAATCCCCACCTGGGCGAATTCTTCCACTATTCTCAACTCCACTGAGCAGAGCTGCACACTCACCCAGTATAGAATCTCCCCAGAGGTGGGTCTTCTGGGGAAGGTGGCCAAATGTGTGCCTCCAAATGAACTGCCGTGAGCCTCTCCCCATTGTCCCCAGAGCTGCCGTCTCAGCTGGGTTCTGTCTCCTCCTCCCCCTGCAAACAAGATTCCTCACTCCATGGGCTCCCCTTGGTGCAGCAGGTTGTCGGCCTGGGCTACAGCTGCCTCTCAGAGCAGAGGAGGGATGGTTGGAAAACATGAGCCCCAATCCCATCAGACCAGGCCCAAATCCAAGGCCCAGCCTCTGGCCCAGAACAGCTGACTACTTACCCGACACTCACACTCGGTCTCGGGGACACCCCCCACTCTCACATCTGCAGTCTTTTGTCTCCTTCCCCAAGCTCCAGAGGAGGGGCCCAATACCCAGACCTTCTGGAGTCCAGGGGAAGGAGATGAGATAATAGATGACCCCTCCTTCAGTTTTAGGAGCAGCCAGCCTCCCTCCAGCTCTCGGAGGTCAGCCAGGCGCCAAGTCTGGGTCACGATCAAAGGATACTTGTTCCCAGGGGTAAAACCCATTTCCTGGTGGGGTGCCCCTAAGATCATGATGGCCCATCCAGCAGGAGCAATGGAAATAAGCTGTGATCTGGGAGAGCTGAGGTTGAAACTGAGGACCAAGTCTTGGCCAAGAGGCCCAGAGCACGTCAGGACAGCGTCCACGCAATGCCATAGCAGCTATGGCCAGCTGTGGCCCCAGGTGCGGGCAGTTGGGCAGGTTGCAGCAGCTTTGCCCACTTCCTTGGCCTCACTGGGGCCTGGGTGAGGGGCACAGGCACCCAGAAGCTCCCATGAGCCAGACCGGTGTTTCTTAAGATGCCAGCAAAGAAACAGGCCTCTTCTGCCCCAAAGCACGGGTCAGTCCCTTGCTGAACATTTACCTGCACTCCAACGAGATGGGGACATCAGTGTAGAAGGAAGAGGTGGGATGTGCAGGGGACGTGACAGAGGAATCTGGGAGGCCAGCCCAGCCCCTCGGGCCCCCACGAGCAGCACAGCCAGGCTGGACCTCCTCGGCACTTCCATTCCATCACCTCCACCAGGGACATTGCTTAGAGCCTCCCGTTTCAGGATGACCCCAGGTGTACCGGTGTGTGTGTGTGCGCGTGCGTGTGTGTGTGCGGTGCGCACACAAAAGGCTGTACGTGCTTCTCCTTCATTAACGTGTCTCAAAAATCATCACACAGGTGTGAAGAAGGGGGATGGCCTTCAGCTACCAGGTACAGTAAGACACCCCTCAGGGTAGATGGGGTTTTAGAAGTAGCAGCAGCCATTGACCCCCTGAGCCCTGGCCCTAGATCCCCAGCACACAGCTAAAGGGGGTACCTGACTGCTGGGGCTCTGCCCCGCCAGACCTCCACTGTGCCCCCGCGCACTGCCAGCCCCACGGGACCGGCCAGCACCCCGGTCTGCCTACCTGCCCTTCCAGGGCTTTCAGTGCAGATGGCACCACCACCACCTCCACACACCCTCAGCCCGCTCAGCACCCCACGACCCCACAGAGCCCGTCCCACCTTCCCCTCGCCTCACAGCACAGCCACCTTACCTGGCATCTATCTCTTCCCTCTCCTTCCCACAGAACCCATTTCCCCACCCCGAGAAAAAGCAACAAGAGTGAATTGGAGCACATCCTATCATTTTTGATTCCTAAATTAAGGAAAACTCGCTAGTACCTTCTCTGTCTCATGCACAAAATACCACATGCTTGATGTCACCTTTTAAATGGTGGGGCACCTCCTATGGGGGGTCACCAAGGCGATCTTTTGAGTGCCAGTTAGGGAAGGAGGAGCTGGCCACGGGCAGTAGCCTGAGTCAAGGGCATGAATCCTAAGTCACTGCCATGGACGGATGTTCTTCCGGGACACAGCAATGGTCATAGCAAGCACCCCTTCAGAATGGCCAGTGCCCGCACTGCACTGCTCGCTGAATATTTTGAATCGACTCCTGGCCATGAGCGCCTCTGGCCCTGATGGTCAGCCAGACCCTCTCCTAGAACCCTCTCTGAAAGGCACCCGCCTGACTGCTTGGGCCAACGGGGTGCCTCAGTCCAGACCTCACCACCAACAGTGCCACCCCGCGTAACCCCATTGATCATCCTCCATATTTTATTTCAAAGACCCTCCACGTCTGAGTTTTTCCCCCCGACTTCTGTGGCATCTCTATGGGAACATTTCACCTCCACCCCCAAATTTGAGTTTCTTGATCTCCAACGGAGATGTTGTTTTAAGAGTGTAGTCATCTTATTTCCCGCAAGTTGGTTCATGTCGATTGTTGTTGCTGTCCTGCGTTGTTGCTTTTCTCCATTGTGACACACTGCATTTTCCATCCCTCCCACCCCCGCAGCGGCCGATGGTGCGGCAGGTTCAAATGCTGCAGATAGTGCAAATACCAGCCTAGTCAATGGTACGTGTCCCACTCCCAGGGCGAGCTCTCGGTCTCGGTTGGATGGGCGTCTCCCGCACCCTCAACTCTGGGCTTGCCTCTCCCTAGTCTGGACGGCACAGACTTGGATGTGCATGGGCAGCTCGGGGACGGTCGTCCTCTCACACGGGGCAGGCGCTTAAGAGAGAAGCCACCACCGGGGATCCAGCTCTGCCCCCGCTCATGGCTGCCACGACGGCACTGGCTCCTGTTGGGCCCTTGACCCCCGGTGAAGCCCGGAACAGGGACGTGACCTTGGCTTCAGATCTGGCCCCCAAGAAGCAGCGTCCCGCCCGGCGTGGCCCTCTCCTAAGCCCGTTCCTGGCCCTGGCTTTGGGAAGGAGGCCCGGGGTCAGGACCGAGGCTGAAGCTGGCGTCTGGGTCCCCACTGAAGGCTCCGGTCCTCGACTCGCCAGTTCCCTCGAGGCAGGGGGACCCAGGCCAGAGCTCAGCTCCTGGACCCCACCCCGTAGCATGGCTGAGCCACTAGTAGACATTCTTCCTCTTCTCTCTCACGGAGCGAACGGGCCGGGGGTTCGCTTGGGCTCGGGCCTGGTTCTGCCCCTGGGATGTGGACTGGTGTTTCTTGCTGTTGCCTGTGCTGGAGCGTTTGTTCTGAGTCTCTGCATTCTTACTGGCCTCCTCGGGGATGAGTGGTGGGGGCAGAGGGCTGCCACTGTACCTGGGAGCTGCATCTTAACCTCCTGACACACAGGCAGGAAGGAATTCCATTCGCCTCCAAGATTTCTTATCTCTGTACCCTCCCATCTTCTCAGATACGTCCCCGTACCCAAATTAGGTGACATAAAGTCACCCAGACTGCTCCTGGGAGCTGTTAGGGCTTGGTCGTGAAACCATTGCCCTGGAGAACTGAAGGGGAGGGAAAGTTTTCTTTTTTCCAGCGCCACGCATCCCAGGCATCTCTGGCTGCGGGTTTCTCATCCATTATATCATTTACTCTTCACCACTCCTGGAAAACATGGAGCTCTCGTCCGCCTCATCCTCCCGTCCCCTGCCCTAGACCTCTGGCTGAGCCACCCGGATTCAAAGTGACCAAAGATGGAAGCAACCCCCGCCCCCGTAGATGTCAGGGGCTGAGCAAGACTGCTCTGTGAGCAGGGCCTCGCCAAGAAGGGCTAATTCGGGTATGGGTCTATTTCAGGCACAGGAGGAGAAATCAGGACAGCCTGGGGTGTGGGAGGTGTCATGTGTGAGGGAGGGGTGGCGAGAGATAACAGGAAGAACCAACGTAGGCAAACCCACGTCGGGGGGCAGGGGGGTGGCAGGGAGGAAACAGGAAGTGGCATCCTGCTTCCCCCAGGATGACAAGCCTGCTGGGCTCGGGGAACATATAGACCGCATCCAGACTAGTGGGTCCCAAAAAAGGGGCAGCCTCACTTGCAACTGTAGCAGAAAACTCCAAGTGTCCCAAGCAAAGCTGCAGGAAAAGACGGGGAACCGTCATTCCTTAACCACCTCCTGTGCACCAGGCACTTTGCAAGCATCTCATTGAATCCTCACAATAACCCTATGATTCAGAGTTTTTTGTCCCCGCTTTAAAGATGAGGAAACTGAGCCTCAGGGAGATCAAGACACTAGTCCAACGTCACAGAGCTAGAAAGTAGCAAAGCTGGGATGTGAACCCAGGCCTGCCTGGCTCTAAAGTGTGTGCCACTCTTGCTGGTCTCTTGTAAACTTCACAAGGAGGTTAAGAAGTCTTCCCCACCACCAGCGCCCCTGACCAAGGAAAGGATCCTGTGGTCAAAGGTGTTTAAGAACCCACTGGGTAAAATTGGTTTCTTCCTTGTTGCAGAGGGACAGCCTTGATTGTGCTGTGTGTGGCGGAGACTTACAGAGCCACGCAGGGTTTCCCAGGCTGATTTGGCTGCGGGACCTTTCCTGGCTGAATGTCATGGGATTGGTAGGCCCCCAAACTATACTTTGGAACCAGTACTCTAAGCTGTTGCTGCCCGAATTGTGGTCGGAGGGCCGGAAGCCTGGGCATCTCCCAGGAGTTTGTTAGAAATGCAGAATCTCAGGCCCCACCCAGACCTGAATGAGAACCTGCGTTCTAACGTGCTTTCCAGGCTCCAGGCAGAGTGCAGTAAAGGCTGAGGGGTGCTAAGCTGAGCCTTGGTGAGTGAGAGAATTAACTGTTCCTTTCCCCTCCTTCGTCTGAGCCAAATCAGGATGACCTGGATGTGGAAAACACACTCAGGTGGCAGGATGCCCCTCTCACTCCACTCCCCCAAGCCCCTCCCAACTGAAAGGTAGGGGTGTTCCATTTATTTTGGAGGCATTATAATCGCCATTTTTATTTTATTATTTCTCTTATATTTATTGATATATCACTATAGAATACATCACGATTAATTATACATCACTCTTAACTCTGGACATTAACAAGGTACTTTGCAGTGCTTTCCATAAGCATCACCTTGGTTGAAAGTGTTGTTTTTCACAGGGAGAGAAACAGAGGCACAGGGAAGGGAAGTGACACCTGCCAGGTCTCCTATTTAGGACCGGGTCTTCTCACCATGGACCTTCCACATCGAAGCTTTCTGCACCCATGGCCCTCACAGTGCATGGAGAGGACAGACCCATTTGGCAAAGCTGCATCTAGCATCTGATACAGAGGGGCTTCCAGGTCTCCGCCCCGGTTCCCCATCTTGGGTCCTGTCCTCCATCTCAGCTCCCCTGAATCACAGCCCATCTTCCACGTCCCATGGGGGACCAGAGCAACGTCCCACCACAGTTCCAGGGCCGGGCGAGTACCCATCTGGCTAAGGAGAACCCCAGATGAGTCGCTTGCTTCTGAGAAACCAGGCCATCTGCACCAAAGCACCCCTAGGATATGGCTCCCTCCCTCAAACATATGCATTGTTGATTATTTTTCTGGCCGTGTGGTCACTATGCAGATAAAAGAGGAAATTGCTAGCTTGGTTGCTGGGCACATGCGGGCTATTGCATCTGATAATATGCGATGCAGATAGAGGCCCCTTTGTGCCATCTAACACCAAACTATGGAAGAGGAGTCCTCTGGTGCCCTTTAGCCCAGTTAGTAAAATTATTTTTAAAAATAATTATTGTAGTTAATTCCTATTGGTTCCAAAACGCCTTTTTCTGTTTTGTTTCTAATCCAGCAGAAAGAATTTTACAATAGAGCAACGGGGACCTTTCTCTTTAAACCCCCGGGGCGGGTCACTGACCCTTCGCTGGGAGAGGCAGTGGGAACAGCCCTGCACTGACCTTGGAGTGATGGTGCGGGGTTGGCATCCAGGAAGCCCCTTCTCCCCTCCGAGTCACCTATAACGGATATGGTAGTGGGGATGACGGTGTTTATTGAACTTCTCACGCAGCCTCAGGGCAGTCATCAGGATGCTCTATAAATGACAGCTGCCTCTGAACCTCCCTCGGCCCCAGTTTCCTCATCTGTAAAATAAGAGTGATGAAAACCCCTCCCGCCCCACCTTGCAGGGTGTCAGGAAAACTGCCAAGATCGGAGACACTTGCAAACTGCCAAAGGCTGCTGGGCGAGTGGTTGTCACTAAGGCAACTTTTAGGAGCTCCAGGGAGGCGATGTGGCCACCCCTTGTTACAGAGATGGAAGCGAGGCCTGGAGAGGTGAAGCCACATGGCTAGTTGGTTTCGAAACAGCAGCTTCAGGAGCCCAGTCCCACCGGTGCCGCCTCAACACCTGCCCTCCCCCTGGCTCGGGGGACTGGGGGTGGCTGCATTCTCCCCGATGGGGGCAGAAATGTGCATGTACTTTGGGGCCAGCTCTCCATTTACCAGCTGAGACCTGGCAGAGACCCTGCTGAGTTGTCCCTGCCTGAGCCGCAGTTTTTTCATCTGTCAGTGGGTGTGATCTGGAGCGTCCCGGTAGGGATGTGGTGAGGCCCAGATGAAACTGTGGTGGTCATGTATGTGCCTGGAACATGAGCTGTGAAAATCTCGTTCTCAGCAAATGGCTGGGGCTGGGGGCAACCTTCTCAGAGTCCTTCTGAGGTGGCAAGCCATTGGGCAAAGCTCGGGGTGAGCCCGTGGGACAGGAGGGTGCCCCCCCGAGCCCTGCAGTGCCAGCAGGGGGAGACAGGTGTCTGGCTACCAGGCAGCAGTCACCAATACCTCCTACCCTGTGAATGCAGGCCACACGCCTTGGGCTGAGACTGGGTAGGAGGCCTCCCCGGCGGCCCTGATTAGGGGGTGGGGAGCCCCAGACCCAGCACTAGGCAGCATCTGTCCCTGATAGGCAGGGCTGGGGTGGGGGGCTGGGGGCACCCAGGGGATCCCACCAGCCAGACTTCACCTGTCTGCTGTAGCCTGAGCTGGTCAACCCAGAATAAAGAGCACACAGCTCAGTGGAGGGGAGGGGTCGGCAGCTTCCCCTTGGGAGCCAGGGCACTGCCACCAGGCCCCTGGACACATGTGGGCACCTCAGAGCCCACCGCTGGGGGACCCCTGCCCGCCCTTTGCCTGAGTCACTCTCAGTGAGGCTGGGCGGGGGTTTCTCCATGTCGTGGCTTCACACCCCTTTACCAGGAGAAGCAGAAAGTGGAATCATCCCTCCTGGAGCCAGAAACTAAGGAACACATTGACCAAACTCCTCCCCATTCTAGAATCAACCTCTCTCTCTCTCTCTCTCCCTCCCTCCCTCTCTCTCTCTCTCTCTCTCTCTCTCTCTCTCTCTCTCTCTCATCTTTCCCTTTGCCTCCTCTCAGCCCGCAAAAGGCACCAACCAAATTCCACATTAATCACTGGGGACCTCAGATCTCCCACTCCTTCTGCTTCCTGCCAACCAACTATGGTTCCTTTACCCTCAAAGGCTGCCAGTTAACCTGTAAAATGCTTAGGGCCAAAATAATCCCAGAAGCGCTCTCTCTGTGCCCCCAGAGAATCAAGAGAAAGCCTGCAGCCACCACGGGTTTGCTCTTGTCTCAGGGGCCTCCCCGGCGTCCCTGCACAGAAGAGCGGAGCCGGCTTGGCCCTCCCTCCATCTGACATGAATGTCTGTGGCCCTGTTGCGTCTTCATGGTGACCAACGTGTGTTGTCTGATTCTCTGTTGTCTGTTAAAATTCTTTGTCGTATAGGTAAAATGCAGGATGGCAATGTGGACGCCAGCCAGAGCAAAGGTAACCCTTTTGTATTAACCTGTGGTCCCTGCGGCCCCTCCCCGCCGGTTCTGAGGGCCACAGCAGAGGCAGACGTCCATGCCTATGAGCGCCTGACACCTTTGGGGGGAGGGGGTAGCTGTGATCACATGGTGCCAGGTCAAATGGAGGCATTACCCGTTGAGGACAGGCCACCACAAGCCAGCTTCTCCCCAGCCTTCGAGCTATGCTGCCCATTCAGCTGAAGACTTGAAGCTCGGTCTTTGAGATCTTCAGGGGCTAAGGGATCAGGCCACAGGCCCACCAGTCAGGCCTGTGCTGAAGGGGAGGAGCTTGACACCTGTGGATGAGGACACTCTCTTCTGCTCTTTAAGCCCCCTTTGTGTCCCTTCTGTCTAGTGACTACTTAATATCCAGCAACATGGCCCGAGGACCAACTGGGCAAAGCCCAAGCCTGTGTCTCGTCTGAATGTGGAGAAGTTGAAGAGCCACTGGGGGAAGGGTCTGTGGGCTTGTTCGGGCCCAGAGGGGACCTTAGCCCACTCCTGCTGGAAATCCAGGGTGGAGCCGTGTCACTCCCTGCTGCGTCCTGAATTCCAGGTCCAAGGCAGCCAGCGGCCCTGGGGCCAGGGTCTCCAGCAGGAACAGGCCAACCCCCCATCACGGGGAACGTGTGCCAGCCATGCGGGGGCCCAGGCTGGGGAGTGAGGGCCTCACCGTGCTCCGCTGGGCAGTTGGGTGGGTGCCAACATCCCCACCCTGCAGGCTAACCTGTGTGTGTGCGTGTGTGTGTCTGTGTGTCTGTGTCTGTGTGTGTGCACGTGTGCTCTGCCCCCTGCAGCCAAACAGCAGGACGGGGCGGCCGCCATGGAGATGCAGCCCCTCAAGAGTGCCGAGGGCGGCGACACTGACGACAAGAAGAAGGCCAGCGCGCACAAGAAGGAGAAGTCGGTGCTGCAGGGCAAGCTCACCAAGCTGGCTGTGCAGATCGGCAAGGCGGGTGAGCGCGCGGCCCCGGGAGCTGGCACGGGGGGCACGCGGCGTGCAGGGGGACCCCAGGCAGGGCCCTGCCCCTACCTGGGCCTCAGTTACCTCCTCTGCAAAGCGAGGGCTTGCATGAGACCCACCTCCTCTGCCACAAACCCAGTCTGAGTCCTTATACAGTAGGCGCTCAAGTCGCACTTAGGCAGAAGAGCGAAGGTAGAAGCGTGGGCTCTGGGGGCGGGGCCTGCCTGTGTTCTTGTCCAGCTACAGCTCTGGGAACTTGGGGCTCTGGGGGCGGGGCCTGCCTGTGTTCTTGTCCAGCTACAGCTCTGGGAACTTGGGCAGGTACCTTTACCGAGCTCTGAGCCTCCGCCTCCTGGTCTGTGGACCTGGGATCCTGTAGTCCCTGCTCCACAGGTTGCTATGAGGAGTAAAGATTATTTACCCGGACGGACGCTCAGCATTTGGCAGGTGTGGTGGCTGCACAGGGGGCAGACCCTGAGGGGCCTGGAGTTTGCAATGCAGGCTTTATTCTGAGGACAGCGGGAGCCCTGGAAGAGGTGTGAGCAGGGGCGGGCAGGGATGGGGTTGAGCTGTATGGTGACCGCCCAGCTGCCGTGCAGGGGAAAGACTGAAGGAGTAGAGGGCAGTGCCAGGAGCCCAGTGAGAAGCCCCTTGTTTGAGGCCCAGCTGAAGCCGGGTTTCCCGAGTTAGTAGCTGCAGGTGATGGCTGATGACGGCCCCTCTTGCCCCGGAAGCCAAGCCCGGAAGCAAGGTGAGCCCTGCTGCCCTGACACGGCCTTGGCCTCCCCTCCCGGGTGAGGATGTGGCAGATGCCAAGGCCTCCCCACCTGGCTGCCTGCTGCTCCATGGCTGTCTCCCGTCTCTAATTATAGGCACCACAGCGTGGAGAAAAGAGGCAAATTACAGGCTTGACTGTCTATATTTAAACTTGGGGGCCTGATGACAGCTCCCGGCTGCTGGGAGCTTGGCTTCCCGCCTCTGCAACTGTCAGACAGGGATCGAGCCGGCTCTGTGTCTCCGCAGCTGGCGGTGCAGGCGGGGCAGTGATGGGTCCAGGGATTTCCTCCATCCCCGCCACAGAGAAATCTCCACGGAAACGTGGCTCTGGAGGGCAGGGAACCAAGCGACGAGAACCACCGCGTGGCCTTCACAGTCCTCACTCATCTCCCTCCCCTGCTCAGCCCTGCCGGGCATGGAGTTCAGAGTTGAGCACTTCTGGTTCAAGTCCCATCTCTGCTTCTCTCCTGGGCTGAATTCCCTGAAAGCAGAACCTGAGATGGGTGGGTACAGGATCTGGCGGGGTGCTCTCAGGTGAGACCAGTAAAGGGTCAAGGATGCAACAGAGCCCAGGAAGAAGCAGAGGCAGCCGGGGGTTCTGGAGAAATCCCAGTCTCCACCTGATCTTACGGGGAGCTCTGGAGCATGGCACCTCTGCAGGGTCTGACCTGCCCTGCAGCAAGGTGTCTGGGCTTCTGGACCTCCACCTCAGCCATTGGATATTGGCCTTCAAATTGGGGTGGGTGGACTCCCAGACACTTTGTGACAAGGAGACGCCAGTTGCCCAAGCATCATCCTCCTCTGGCAGAGGCTTCAGGTGTGGGCAGCCTCAGTGGCAGCTGTGCAGCACATGCAGCAGATGCAGGTAGTCGAGTGCACAGGGCTGGCAAGAGAGATCCTGGCAGCAGCCAGGATTAGCACCTGCAGGTGCTAATTCTACAGTGCCTCCCTGGCCTGTGGCCTCGGGCAGGTCACTTCCCCTCCCCGAGCCCCTGCTGTTGCCTCAGCCTGGAACACTCTTCCCCCAGGTCACTACCTGGCTGCTCATCGTTCCTCTGTCTGCTCAAATATCACCTCCTCCAGGAAGCCTTCCCTGGCCACCCTAGCTAAAGTAGCCACTGGATCTACCAGGCCATGTCGCATTTTTTTTCTTTTTCTTTTTAGTTTTATTAAGGTATAATTTATATATTAAAAAATTGCACACGTTTAATGCACACGTGATGAGTTTCCACATATGCATATGCCCATGATACCAGTCACCACAACCAAGGTACTAAACCTATCCACCACCTCCAAAAATTCCCTTGTGTTCTTTCATGGGTTTTTTCGGGTTTTGTTTTTTGGGAAAGAACACTTAAGATCCTCTTAAGCAATTATGAAGTGCACAATACCGCATTGTTAAACTGTCGGTGCTATGCTATACGGCAGAGCTCTAGAACTTTCTCATCTTGCATAACTGAAACTTTTTCCCCACTAAAAACAGCTCTCCTTTTCCCCTCCGTGCAGCCCCTGGCAACCTCCCTTCTATTCTCTGCTTCTATGGGTTTGACTCTTTTAGATTATTCAGATAAGTCCTTCTGTGTCTGGCTTATTTTACTGAGCATAAAGCCCTTCAGGTCCAGCCATGTCGTTGCAAATGGCAGGATTTCCTTCTTTTTAAAGCTGAATAATATTCCATTGTACGTGTAGCCCACATTTTCTTTATCCTTTCATCTGTCAATGGACGTTTGGGTTGTTTTCGTATCTTCAGCCTATGTCACTTCCTACCACGTCATCCTGGAGTTTTTCTCGACAGCGTTATCTGTATCTGAATTATCTTGTTCGTGTGTTTGTTTCTCGTCTGCCTCCCCCTCTAGAATCTCAGCTTCCCAAGGGCTGAAAGGGACTCTGTCCTCTTTACTGCTGTGTCCCTAGTTCCTGGAATAGGAAAGAGTATGTACCTGAAGGCAGGAGGAAATAAGTGGTACCCTCTGCACATCCTATTGTGTGAGGGCACCGTGCGAGTAGTTACTGATTCACACGATCACTCAGCACCTACAATGCGTCGGGCACTGTACTAGGCAATTTACACGTATTCATCGCATTTGATCCTTACAAAACCATGTGAAATAAATATGCATCCCCATTGTACAGAGGAAGAAACTGAGGCTCTTTGAGGATTAAGGACTTGCCCCACGCCACCAAGCTGAGCTGGGGTGTGAGCTAGGGCCTGCCTGACCCCAGAGCCCTTTGAGCCAAGGCTTTGGTCCACATCTCCCTTCCCGGGGCCCCGCACCCCCAGGAACCCCCTGACGGCTCTCCTCCCACCCGTGTCACAGGTCTGGTGATGTCAGCCATCACGGTGATCATCCTGGTGCTCTACTTCACCGTGGACACCTTCGTGGTCAACCAGAAGCCGTGGCTGCCTGAGTGCACGCCCGTCTACGTGCAGTACTTTGTCAAGTTCTTCATCATTGGTGTGACGGTGCTGGTGGTCGCCGTGCCCGAGGGGCTCCCTCTGGCTGTCACCATCTCACTGGCCTACTCGGTGAAGGTGAGGAGGGGAGAGCAGGGCGGGCCAGCTGATGCCACTGAGATCGGCTGCCCCCAGCTGGGGATCCGTGGGGTGGCCGGCGGGGCCAGTGCCGGGTGCTGAGAGAAGAGCTAAGTAGTGGGAGTGGGGACGGAGGGAGCTCGGAGAGAGGATGCATGCAGGTGGCTGAAACTCACATGCCTCCAGGAGAGCCACACCCTGGCTAAGGGGACAGCTGTTATTCAGCACAGCCAAGTGTCACCTTGTAGGGATGGGGTCCAGTGTTGTCAGATATTCAGATTTTTTCCAAGAGAAGCCAGAAATCTGGACCTAACATAAAATCTCCTGATTTTTAAACATTGACAGTCAACTCAACTTAAAAAAAATGAATTAGATGCAGGTATCACCCTACAGGCCCACACCCACCCCTGTCCCACCAAACGTAGGCAGAAGCCTGGCCATCGCAGCCTTAGGCCCCACTGTAGCCACAGTACTTGTATGACTAATCTCGGAGTTTGCTCCCTGAAGTTTGAAAGGGATAAGCCTAAAATAAAAAGGATGTCTGGTTTTATGAAAGCCCCTCCTCGGACTTCCTTGGTGGCGCAGTGGTTGAGAATCCACCTGCCAATGCAGGGGATACGGGTTCGAGCCCTGGTCCGGGAAGATCGCACATGCCACGGAGCAGCTAAGCCCGTGCGCCACAACTACTGAGCCTGCGCGCTAGAGCCTGCGAGCCACAACTTCTGATCCCACACGCCACGACTACTGAAGCCCACGCACCTAGAGCCCGTGTTCTGCAACAAGAGAAGCCACCGCAATGAGAAGCCCGTGCACTGCAACGAAGAGTAGCCCCCGGGCTTCCCTGGTGGCGCAATGGTTGAGAGTCCGCCTGC